GCCTCCAGGTAGCTGTCCATGAGTGACTCCATACAAGAAGTTTCGCAGCTGTTTGGAGGTGACGTGAATTCCAAGGCCTTCTCCAGTCAGGCTGCGATTGGAGATGACTTCATATTTTGGTGTACATGAAGGTGATGGGCGAGGCCAGCTCCTGCTTATCGAGGAACATCTTGGGTATCTTCCGCCCTGGTACTCGTATCCACGTCCTCTGTCTGGGCTGCGAAAACTTTGCTGATATGTGACTCGGTCGAAATGTCTTTTTGCCCCCCTCCCTCCCTTTAAATGTCACAATTACTGCTTCATGACTGAGCAGCAACAATCCATACACTTATTCACGGGAGCTGACTTTAAAGACACAACGTACGCTCGTCGTCCTTGGCATGTCCGGGGCTAACGAGCCCCAGCTGTCGAAGCGTAGCGGTTTCCCCGTCCGAACATGCGCGGGGATGGGATCCAGGACCGTGGGAAAGCTAATTCCTCGCTCCGCCTAAAATGCAACTTGCGGCGCAGACTCCCGATCCCGTTTATACTAACAGCCGTCCGCGCGGCGCGTGTCGCATGCAGCGCTCCTGGCACTTTGCCAAGTCTTGTAATTGCGCTTTCGAATACAATTAAAACGCAAAATAACTTTGAGGTGTTGCTCATGCTGCAAAGTCCGAATCGAAGATGATGACGAGGGCCAGAACTCAAGAGCAACTGTGCTGCTTCTGCAATCTCCCTCGAAAGCCGCGCATTCCCACCAAACATGAAAATAAAAATGGCCTAAGCGTGCTTCAATTCAAAGTCTTTATTGGCTTCGGAGCCGGAATCGCGCCGAAATGCAAAAATTTGCACGGGTTCTCTAATAATGTATATTTACTCACATTTTTTAACATTTCATTTAAATGCACACTAGTTGCTCTTCAATTCTAGCCTTCGTCGTCTTCATCACCTTCGATTCGGACTCTGCAGCATGACCTCAAATGTTATCCGCCAGGAGTTTGTGCTTCGATTGTACTCGAAAGCGCAATTACAAGACTTGGCAATGTGCCAGGAGCGCTGCATGCGAGATGCGCCGCGCGGACGGCTGTCGGTATTAGGTTGTCCCAAAAGTTCGTGGACATTTTTTGAATCTCTCAGATCTTTCCGCAGCCATTTCGAGATCCAGTTATGTGGTCTATGGGAAGTGTGTTAGGTAAGCATCCCACAGCTTCTTCACCGTCCCTCGCAGTCGCTGTTCTCATATGAAAAACGGTAATTGAAATTCATCATTTTCGACACACTTCGCTATATGAATCTCTACCAAGCCACAACGTGGTTGGAGCCATAAGCGGCATTTCCCTTATTTAGATCTTGATGTTACCTTCCACAGTACGGAATGGCCCAATTGCTTCCGCTTTAGTGACTTCTATCCGGGTGAAAAACTTCGTCCAAGGAGGCCACCTGCCTTGGATTTGGACCTACTGTGTTCCTTGATTAAAACCAATTCGTACGAATCAACTTGCTACCTAGTCCTTACACTTGACTGGTCCCAAAGCACAGAAGCCTCGCTCCCTTAGAAAAGTTCTGAAGTTCGGTCAAAATTTTTCTCATGAGTTGACCAGTACTCCAAGGGGAGCACATGTGGGTACTGTCTACAACTTCTCTCCCGCTTCCGCTGTACGGGCTGGTTGAACAGCACTGCTGGATATGGAGTGGGTGCCTCTAGGTGAATCACTCCTGGGAGCGCCAGCGGCTAGATCCCCAGAAAGGGCAGAACCGATCGCGCAATCCTATCAATCCAGTAGGGCGGTGAGACTGTGTATGTGGTGGGGTTTCTTTCTCCCTTCCCATAACGGAATTTCTTCTTCTCAGCGCTGTGGTAACCTACGAACCCTATTGTAATCAACTGCAAAGGGGGGTTGAAAATCGCTAACATTTGGTCCCAAAACCGAGCAATGTTTGCCTACTCCACCACAGCTCAGGGTCACACATTTGGAAAACGACACTGCTCGAGATCCCGAAGCTTAGCTGGGGAATTCCACCACAGTCTTCGTGTAGCCCTGACTTAGCTCTTTCCGATCGCCATCTAAACTAATCCCACAGCGGCCATCTTCTGGGTAAAAAAATACGATTTTTGATAGTACCTCAAAAATGACCCAGCTGCCTTTCTGGGCACAGAACTAAGAGGCTTCTGGAAGCAGGGCAACCACACATTGCGTAGTGATTGGCAACAAGTTGCCAATGATGGTGACATTTATATAGTTGATCAAAATTGCTTCCCACTAGAATAAACTTAACTCGAAAAAAATGTTCGAAAGTTCCACGAACTTTTGGGACAACGTAATACAATTCT